TAATGGAAAATGGAAACTACTATTGTGTAGTAGGGTATATATTAGGATACAGTAATATACTACAATCCTTATAAAGGGGATCCCAAATCCCTGAATAGTTGGCCGCATAGGATCGATTCACAGGGTCTTGCTCTGGAATTGCACCGGGCTGAAGCAATCCCATCTCCTAATCATGTACCCCAAACCCCGAAGAGCAGCAAAAACATGTGGCTGGAAGTCAGGGAAGGGGATTCCTCGCTGGAATGCAAACAGTTTTCAATGCCAACTCAGCTTCTGACTAGCTGCGGAATGTTCAAGGCCACGTTGTTGGTTTAGGGTTGGGCTTATGACGGTGCAGGGCTTAGTGCCGCGCAGGACCCAAGCGGCGCTTAGGAGAGAGAGGGAGAGAGAGAGAGNNGAGGGAGGGAGGGAGGGAGAAAGGGAGGCAGAGCGAGAGAGAGCGACCAGACACAAAGACAGCACAATCAGCTTAACCATCCCACGTGAGGGCTTACAAGCTCGACTTGCAAGCCCTAAAAACAATCAACCCTTCACTCTAGGCCTTGGACACTATATGCCCTACACTGCAACTCTACCCCGCACTTGCCATGTACTAGCGTCACTCTCTCCAAAGCTGAGGCTGTGACTTTTTTGGGGTGTCAGTGGAAGTGACTGAGAGAGGAACCAAGTGACACAACTAGCAAAGCAGAGCCGGAGATTTCTGCGGCTGGCCAGAGGGCGTATGAGCGGGGTTTGGGGTTGAAGGCTTGGGGTTCGGGGTTGGATTTCTAAGCGTTGAGGGTTTGAGGTCTACGTTCCCAGGCTTAAGCAGGCTTAGGGGTGGGAAGTGGGGTCTCTACGGCTTGCCCTCAATCTTATAAGCCCAACTTTAACTCTCTGAGGGTTGGAGTTCAGGAAAGGGGCTTCTCATGATAATTCTAGGGTGAAGTCCTGACAACAAATCATCATAGTGCGGATATTCGGGCTGTGTCTTCATGGGGTGACGGCTAGGGAATCACCATGGCACCCAGCAACCCTCCCAAGACAACCTTTTCGAGACAAACAACGTGTACATAGGGAACCCACCAAAGAAAACAGTCCTCCAAAGCCTTGAGGTTCAGGGGCCAGGGTTAGTCAAACGATGTGGATGCAATGAGGGTTCTTACATAGTCTAGGGGAGACGTGCTGTAGGGCTCAGGGTTCAAAGCATCCCAATCTCCTGTTTTCCTCTTTTCTGTAGAACCCAAGCGGTCCCGCCATGTAGCATGTACTTGGGGCGTCTTGTACCTATATTGGGGGGCCCCAAGACGGGTCCCACTCATCCGAATATGAAGGAATTACTCGTATGGAAAACATTACGTGTCTTACTGTTTGGAAGGTGGGTTGAGTCTTATCATATCTGTGTGCTACGTCCAAGGCCCGCCAAGTGATTTATGACAAGATTCCCTTGTACAACAGTAAGGGTCGTTATTGCTAAACAAGCCCTATAGTCCTATAGGGACTTGCAGTCTCGAGCCCCGCAATAGAAATCCTTCTACTATGCGATCTTACTACAGCAGGGCCCCGAAATACCTGAGCCCTAACCCCTAAACCCTTGTAGTATAAATAAGAGGGCGTATTTACTCCTACTGCTGATGCTCAATCCTGCATGACTGTAGTACACCGTAATGTTGTACTTTGCTACTAGTAGGAACATTTGGGAGCTCCAGGTAAACCTTAAACCCAAAATCTTAACTCTACAGTCTAAGCCCTGAATGCTGAAACCCCGTGACTTCGGACAAACTGAACTTCCCTGCAGCCTCAGACCCCCCTGGATGCTGAAACCCCCCCAAAACGCTACAGCCTCCCTACACTCCAAACCCAACCCTAAACCCACACAACCCATCCTTGAATATCAACACTCTGCCAAGGATAACTTACGGGGACTCGTAACACAGAGCCCTATAAAGACCATGGTCGTTCACGGGGGCTATATGGGGCCTGTGGCATTTTGCGAGGGGCACTAGGCTTCTGCAACAGTAGGCACTCCCCGAAGATTGGCAGGAGGCGGCTTCAGTAAGATTCCTATATAAACCAGGGCCTGAAGCTTAGAGCCTTCTGTGTGCACCCAATGACTCCCAAAACCCTGGGACTTGAAGCCTGAAGCCCAAATCCAATACCCAGCTCTACTGCCTGTAATTTTGTGACCCACAAACCCTAATTACCCCAATAAAGCCAAAGCACAAAACGATGCTCTGCCCTATGCCCTGGGTTGGATGGCACTGCTTTGGCTGCTCTCCTTCAGGACCATAGTACCTTGCTCAACCAAGTGCACTGGAAGCAGGGGGATGACGTGAGTGCAGGTACGCGGTTGAGGGTTTAGGGGGATCCAGGGTTTTTGCCGTTTCAAGCATGATGGTCCCATTGTTGCACCACCCAAGTTCTCAGGCACTCGGCTCTATGGATACTATAGAACTCAGGCCATAAAGCTCAAGTATGCTGCGGGCATTTGAATGGGTTGGGCAGTTTTGGAAGGCTCCCGCCCACCGAAAGTTTAGGACTTTCAGCTTGAAGTTCCCAAATCTCAGAAGCGGTGTAGGGTTTAACGGGCTTAGGGTTTACTAAGGGTTTAGGGCTCAGGGTTTATTTAGGGTTTAGGGTTTAGGGAATTGCTGACTCCTGCATACCTAAATCCCCTGAGCTCTGTTACTTCCTCATGCGCAACCCGACATCAGACAACAAATCCCTCCATCCATCAGATCAGCCCCGCATCCAGTGTCCGAAGACGTGCCCTGTCATTGACCTTCAACCCTCAAACACAAGAACCTAAATCATTGAAACCCGAAGGCCTGACTCCTAAGCTCGAAAACCCGAACGTACCGGACCAGAAACCCTCATCAGGTTGAGGATCGCCCGAATCCCTAGAAGCCCAGTTACACATTTGTTGGCTTACCGCTCCAAAGTCCTTGTCTAGACTATACTATGTACATAACTAACCCAGAATCCTACAGGGTTTTGAGAGCAGGGTTTTGGGCTTGTGTGGGACTTTGGGGAGTTTTGGTTTTGAAGGGATGGAGAGGGTAACTCTACTGGGTACATGTAAGCTTGTATGATGAAAGGTTTCGGTATACTCCATGGCGCTTAAAGATTGGTGAGTTGGATTGCCGGATCATTTAGTTGATACTTGAAATCATGCATGACAGTAAGAATGAAGTACCCCACACCCCCCACACCTTTGGAAGTACGATGCTACATCAAAGGATCCTCAGCCTCTCCTCCAAGACTGTACGCTCAAAAAACCTAAAAATCCCGTGGTGTAGAAGCCTGAATGCTTAATAATACTCTGCCCTTGTAACCTGGGCCACTACAGCAGTATATCATCACAATTTCCAGTTCAATCCCCATGGTTCTTTTCAAGTTTATAGATTCTCTACTTTTTAGGGTAATGTCTCTACAAGCCGCGTGCCTCATAGTCTGAGTTTTGATTTTATATCTTCCTACTTTCCGCACTCTATTCCATCGTGAGTAACGCATATGCAATACCTGTACCAGTCGAAGCCATACGAGCAGCAGTTGGAGCACTATGAAGACAGACTCCCCCCCGAAGCAACCCAATCTGATCTGGAGATAAAAGCCCCAGAACCCCTTTACGTCCCTACACACGTTTAGAGCTCCACATTTAGAAGGTTTAAGGATCGAAAGTCCGTATAAATGAGGATGTATAGAAAATTTTGCGGTCTGGTAAACACCAGTCCGGCCACCTGCAGCCTGGTATGTGGGATTCGAGCTTTATGGGGACACCTCTAGGTGCGGGTGCCATGAAAGGAGGCCTATCTGTGAATAAGCACATATATATATATATATGTCTATATATATACACATATAATATATCTGTAAATGTATATAAATATGGTTGTTTCACAAAAATAGGGGTACCCCAATATAGACCACGAGATACTGTAATCCCTATAATTGGGATCCCCAAAGAGGTGCCCCTAAATTTGGGAAGCCCCCATATAGCCTCCTGTTACCTTATTCCCTTTGTCTAAACCTGATATTATATCAGCCCCACCCAAAGTGCACCACGCAGCAGGCCCTGAATGGCTTCAGCCTCTACAAGCCCTAAGCCCCCAAACCCAAATCCTAAACCCCTGGCCCCGACTTAGGAAACCCAAAAACTCCTGAAGCCCAAATGAACCATAGTCTAAACTCCTAGTATCCCCCTTAATATCCCCTATAGTAGTCCCATATATAATCCCCTATATATCCCCCTTTAAGGAGTTTAGACTATGGCTCAAATCATCCCGAGCGCCGCGCTTCACGGATGGGAGCCGTTTTGCCCCCTGCTTTTGACAGAGGCCTTCTGACCTTTGGGTCTTTCAGGCTTTTTATGGGTGTTTAGGGTTTAGGGCCTTGCTTTGGACTTATAGGGCTTTAGGATTAGAGTAGGATTTAGGGTTCAGGGTGTGTTCAGGCTTCAGCTATTTTGGGGTCTATAAAAATGCTCTAAGGGTGCAAGTACGTGAAGCCCTGAAGATGATGTGACTTGGCCCAAAGAGTTCCTGTACCAGTGTTTTGCACCCAAATTACATACTGCTTTGGTACTTGGACCCTTAGGGATGTTCGTTGATTCGTCGGCTTTGCGGTTTGAAGTAAAGAGCTTCGCGCTCACGGACTACTTTGCCTGGAAAGATAATATAGCCTCATTTGTGAGCCCCCTAATGCCTCAGCTAGAAGCATTCACTCAGGCAGGCTTTAGATTGAGGGATGTATGGTTCAGGTTCTAGGTCTTGGGGGAGGTGTTTGTTCCTGACCAAAAGTCTCTCCTCAGGGACTCGCATGGATTCTGACCATCTAAGATCCGTTTCAGATAGGCATCTTATAAAACATACAAAGTGCTATCCGGAGTAATTGACAGCAACATAAGGCAATGCAAGAGATGACCTGCTTGATACATCTGTGACTTCCTAACAATATAGGACAGTTGGCTTGGGTTTAAAAGCTAGCGGTTTCCCAGCATTCTGGGGTCCTTTCTGGTGTGCTCACACTACGGACTACGAAGCTGTGGGCGTGGCCCGCGGAACTGACTTTCCCGCAGCCAGTAGTACCGTTGATAAAGGGAGTCTTGCACTACCGCAGAGCCCCCAAAACAGTCTGTAATTCATAATGATTGAGGTGCCTAGGGAGATGAAGGGCTTCTTCCATCAACAAGAAAATGTCGGCCTAAGCTTGGTCGTGTGAAGCTTTTCAAACCTGACATTTGAAGACCGCAAACCTTAAACTGTGTGGGCTGCCAAGGCAACACTCCTCAGAGTCTGGGGTTAGGAAGTAGCCCCCAGGCTTCATGCTTAGTTACTATTAGTATTACTATCAATATTTCTGTCATTATTACTTTTCTTTTTATAACTATATTATAGCTATTATTGCTGTTATTATCATTGCTATTATCATTTCATGATTATTATCATTGCTGTTATGACTCTTGTTGTTACTATTATTACTAAGCCTTAGCTTTCAATGTATCAGGCAGGGCTTACCTGCCCACGGGCAAGTCCAAAGACGCCTGAGAGGACAGCTTCTGTGTCTCTGATGGTCGCTGAAGTATTACAATGTCAAGTAGAAACATCCTGCAACTACCCAGGGTCTAGAGTAGCGGGGCTGCACCATCTTGCATCATCTATGTCCCCCAATTTTTTTGCCTTTTGCAAAGGAAAAGATAGGACAGACCCTAAACCTGAAACCAAAAACCCTAAGGCAGCTGTCCAAGGTAGTGGCCCTGCACATTTGAAAGCCTTCCAGAACATCATTCAAAAGCATGACCCAAGCTTGGGGAGCCCAAAGGATTTAGGGTTTAGGGTGCGGAGCCCAAAGTGGAGCCGAACCTTGCCACAACCACCCCTACCAGCCCACCGACAATAAATCCTTCACCCTCAATCCTAAACGAAAGATCTCTCTCTAAACCCCTGAGCCCCAAACATCCCTAAACCCTAAGCCCCAAACATACCTAAGCTAACCATGTGGCCCACCTGGCGCAATTGACCGCGCCGGCTTCGACAAGTTGCGCGCCCTGGGGAAGTGGAAGCTGTTTGGTGACGTCGCGTGCAAACGTTTAGGATTCAGGGTTTGGGGGTTTAGGAGTTCAGTGGCTTTGGCTGCAAAGCTTATCGGTGTAGCCTTCAGGGTGCAAAGGCTGAAGGTCTGGGGTCTAGGCTCAGGGATTTACAGTAGTGTGTGGCGGCTGAAGGCTCAGGGCTTCAGGCGGAGCCTCGTACTACGGATGTGACATAAGAGACATAAAGCCCAGGTCTCATAAGACTTGAAAACTCTCAATTTTGTGAGTTCAAGGTTGCATGTGCATGAACAGCCAAACGCGCCCAAAGTATCGAGGGACTGGATTCTGGGCTGATCTCTGCGGCTGGATGATTTCTGGCTGAGTGTATTTTGGGGGATCAACCTAAGCCCTCAACCCTAAACCCCCAAACCCTAAACCCTAAACCCTCAAACCCTAAACCCTAAATCCTGCTCTGTTCCATCCAGGTGCCAAGTTTGACGTTTCAGTGTTCTGGCCCCAGAGCATGATGATAGTTCAGGGGATACTGTGCCCGTGAAATACTGGGCGCAAGTCGTGGCCCTAATAGCCTAATGCACAGGGGCTATCTACTTAGAGCATGTCCGGTAACATTATAGTATAGTCTTTATTCAAGGCGGAAAGAATCAATATTGGCAACTTCTAGGCTTCTGACTTCTACGGCACATAATCCGCAGAAAACCTTCTGACTATTCACAGTATCCATGTTATTTTCCATGTTCTTTGCCGTTCGTTTCCCCACTTATTTACCGTACACCGCGAAAATCTAAGCTGTGAGGGCAAGCGTTTTTTGTGACGACTTACTCGCTGAAGGACAGCGTAGGCTTCGCACCAAGAGGACGTAAGGATTGGGGATTCAGCTTTTAGGGCTTGAAGGTTTCGGGGTGTCGTGTGTAGGGTGCATGATGTGGCAAAATCCGTAGAAACACTTAACAATCCTGGTTTCAATTTAACGTTCCACTGTCTTATTTGATTTTCCACTTATTGGTGGTGAACCAAAGGCCCCGCCGGAGGCTTTGAACACAAGTGTGGGACTTGCTTTCGGATTGTGACTCTGAAAGTCTGGGATATCTGCGGGATATAGCTGCCCTAATTGTCAACATGTCTGCATTGCTGATGGTGTCCGGCATGGTTCAGACCCAGGCCCACCTAAGAAATGGTCGATTTCGGCCTTCCCTGAATCTTTCTCAATCCTGACAGATGCGACGTATGGACTACTAAGGCCTACCCTCCCTGCCAATGCCTTTGCGTTTATTCCTTTTGGAAGAGCAGAAGGTCGTTTTTGCAATTATATGTGGAAGCCCATGCCCCACGACGTGCCAAGGATTCCTAACGTGGACCCAACTACCACTTTGCAACGAGTCCGCCCCCAAAAAGGGTGCCGATGGCCTGCACCAGCTTAGCGCCAAAAGTCGTAAAGGCTTCTTCTATCTCCTGTTGGGAGGCAGCTTTCTGGAATTGGGGGTTTCCCAAGATTAGCGGTACCATTTTGGGGGTCCCAATAATAAGGACTATAATATATTGGGGTCTATATTGGGGTCCCCCTATTTTGTGGAAACTACCAATTGGGCCTTTGTTGCAGGAACTGTTAAGACACTCAGGGCTGCTTCGCGCTGCTTTGAAGAGCGGGATGTGATGGAATTGGATCTTGCGGTATGGACACTTTTCTTCGGAAGTGTTCGACGTTGTTTCTTGGGTTTGCGCTTGGAGCTTAGCTGCGCATAACGTCTCAATCAGCATCTCAAGTAGCTTTTGTTACTCCGACATGTCAAGGCCTCAGGAAAACATCATTTGAGCTATAGTCTACTAGTATCCCCCTTAATAAGCCCTATAGTAGTCCCCGATATAGTCCCCTACATAGCCCCCTTTAAGGAGTTTAGACTCTGGCTCATTTGACTAGGCAACGGTCTCCAAAAACTCTTCCTACAGCTCCCTCTTCCAGGGCTCAAGGCTTACACTCTCGCTCTTTTGGGACCCCTTAACTTATTGGTTCCTAGCAGGGAATAAAGGAATATAATCCTGTATAGTTGTCTAATCCCTGAACTCATTGGTTCGAAGACGGGAATGTAACCCTTTACAATCCCTGTAAAATATATCATGTTCCTCTATGACCTAGTAGTGTCGTTGCCCGTGACGAAGCCCTTGATCGCTTTCGATGACCTACTGAGAACCAGGAATCTAAGCCCATTGCTGCTCATCCAAGTGGGCTAGGGGCTTCAACGTGCTGACTGGCTAAGCCTACCTTTCGGGACTCCAAGTGTCAGCTTACTTCTTGATTGCCGCCAGGGGCTTGAAATCTCAAATGCGAGAAGCCCTGGCAGCAAATAGGGCCCAACCAAGGCTTCTGCGAAAGACACTGAAGCATCCTGGGTTTAGGGTTTATGGTTTAGGGTTTAGGGGTTTGGGGTTCCGGCTCCTGAAGCAAACACCTGAGCGTTTTTTGATGGCAGCCTCACACCCTCTGAAGCTAGCCTTTTCAACGCCCCATCAAAAACCAAGTAGGTGATGAACTTTCGCTTAAGGCCACAATCTGAAGAGCCTCCTAGCAACAAGAAAAAGACCAACACACAATACATTGGGAAGCTTCTGATGTAAATCTCAAGGAACCCAGAAAAACCGCCAAATACACTGGCCCTTCCTTGAAGAGTACTCAAGATTTTGGGAAACCGTTGATAAGACATTTCGTGGAAACTACAGTGTTCAGTAACAGTACCCTCAACAGTGCAAGACGGCTTACACCGGACTTCGGGTAGCAAAGGAAGTGTTGCATCACGCAGATGCCCTTCAACACAGTCACATCAATAGTTTGGGTATAACAGCTGGCAATGTAATATCTCCTTGCTCCACAGTTTTTTCTACTTGACGATCACCTATCAACCCTCCGTGGCTGCTAAACCAGACACCCCAACTGAAACATTAAATAGCCCAACTCCCAAAACCTACAACTTAAGTCCTAAGTCCTTACAATCTCAGGCCCTTTCTGCCCCTGAGCCCATAACCCTAAATCCCGAAACTTTCGAACTCAGAATGTAGCCCTTGGGACCTGATACCCACCCACTATTTGGGTTCTGGGACCTTTAGAGCAAACCCTCGTCCACCTCCATCTCTTGAAGGTTGGACTCATAGAAGAGGATGACAACGTTCCTCCAGGCTCTTAAACGATTGGGTTTCAGGGCAATCGGTGCACAGGCCAGAACTCCCCAAAGTTCCTCGACCCTAAGCCACTCTCCTTTAAGACGATTGCCATCAGCATCTCAAGGGCATTGGGTTTGCCGGGGCTCAGCCTTTGGAGGATCTGATCGCATTTTCTGTTTATCTCCAATCTTCGCATAGCTGAAACAACTCTTGTCCTGATGTTCAAAATGCATGTCGGAGTAGCGACACGGCTGAAGAATTTTGTGGCTGCATAGTAAACCCCTTAAACGCAAGAAGCAAAGGTCCCGTTTCTTGCAGATCACTTTGCGTAGTCTTCTCTCAGAAGCTGAGAGCCCTCCACTCTCCCTACACTTATTGCTGGCTAATGGAGAATAGAGGAATCGGTCCCCACATACACCCGGGAAGATAATAGTCTCCATTATTCTCCATCCATTCCTTCATTCCCTACAATATCAAGCACCAATCAGCAAACCCTTGAAACTCCGAAGCTGTCAACCTTGGTGAAATGCACCTTGACCACCGCGCTCATCCGCAACCAACCCATGCTATGCCTCACCGTATCTTTTCCCCGCTCAAGACTTGATGTAAAATAACTTTCTTTGGCAACATACGGATGGCATGAGGTCACTTCGGGAGCAAACTTGATTTCAAACCTGGTGTAATTCGTATAGCTAAACATCCGTCCGCAACCAAAAACAATACACCGCTACGCGCGTCCTAGCACGAAAGCAGAATTTAACAACCGTTGGAAGCTCAGATCCTAAACCTTAAAATTAACCTATACCGTAAACCCAACCCAGCCCAAACCACTAAAACAACATGTTGAAATTTTAAGCTCCAAGCCATGAAGCTTCATTGAGTTTCTTGAGGAGCAATTCCTGCCTTCTGGAAGCGCTGTCCTCCATCTCTGCCTGCTTCAGAGATTTACAATGCCCCGTGAGTAGATAGAATATTGGGTATATGTGCATCCTAGTATAACATACCCAAAGCCATATTCTATCTATTTAAGGGAGACTATAGTCTACCCGAAAGGGTCTAAGGACTTGCGGAGCGTGAACCCTGAGAGTCTAGAGCTAGCCACGGGTTGTGAGAACTGAGGCTTAAGGGTTTAACACCCTATAACAAAAATGTACTCCTTGCCTACTCCCTTTAGCACCAACAGGTCCACCCTAAGCCATGAACCTGAACCACAAAGAATAGAGAAGCTTGCATGCGCGTTCCCATTCCAGCCTCGGAAAGCAAACAGCACGGAATACATGGACGTTCCAAAACAACTTATCTTTCGCAGATTTCAATCTCGGCATGAGGGCTGATCGTTTTCGGAATGACTTTTTATTTTAGCCTGTTTGCGTTCCCCGGCAAGGAGCCCCGTAAAATTGCCCAGAACAGTACATACAACAACCCTGCATAATCCCCTCACTTTCCCTTAAGCGGCAGTCAGTCACTTGCTTGCTTGAGACTTTCGCAGCCTTCCATGACTTCGCGGACATCTCTTTCACGCCAGGCCTCGGACACAGAACACTTTTCAAAAGGGCTTAAAAAAGTTATGTAGGCATGGTAGGTCTAGAGGGACCCATGTCTATAGATATAGGAGGTTGAAGCTTAGGCTTTCGAAATCTCTTTTTCAAGCGCTGTTTATTTGGAGTTTCAGAACGCGGTTGCTTCGACTTCGCTCAGGTACAGCTCTTCTGAGAATGGTTACCTGGGCTATACTTGACTTACCCTAAGGGTCCAAGGACCCAAATAATAGGGTTTTAGGGCCCAAATACCATTAAAATTATGGTAATTGGGCCCTAAACCCCTATTATTTGGGTCCTTGGACCCTTAGACTTACACCTACAAGTTACAAGTGGAAGTAGGTTATGAACAACCTGAACTTCTAGCTATGCGCTCACACATACAACTGTGTCGGGTGTCGGCATCATGCGCCTAAAGCTCTTGAGAGTACAGCATCTTCAAGCATACAGTCTGGGTCTGCGGGCCCTGAAGACAATGCAGTTCAATGCCGCCGTGGGCTCAGGGCTGTGGGGTTAGGAGTGTTTGACCAGGGATGATCAGAGTTTGCCCAAAGTCTTGCGTGGCAATTTCCAAGTTTCGGCTCAGGGTGAGGTTCCACAGCATTCAAGCATGAGCTGATCATGACCCGCACCTGTACTAGTAAAAATACTGAGAGGTTTGTATCTGCAAACGTAGATGTATCACTCGGGCTATTCTTGTGAAGGTGTACACCCACGAAATCGAGCTTAAGTTCGATGCAGAGGCTGAGAAGAATAGTGTTGTTTATTGAGTTTTGGCGTTTGCAAAAAGAAGTAGCACTGATGGAAGACTTCCTATAAGACTCACAAAGCTGCACCTGATCCTGGGAATCACAGTGGTCTAGGGTGCAAGATTTCCTGCATTGACAATATTAACACCAGTTAATGCGGAGTTCGTAGGTTTGTCCAAGAGTTCCCTATAAGAAGCCTAGTTCGAGACAATACTCAGACACCCACAAGGCCACCTGGAACATCATGACGAGGCGAAGGAGACCAAGACCATGATTTCATCGGTTTCTCAGGACAAGAAGTAATGGGTTGGAGGTTCGTGGTTAACAACAAGGAGAAATGTACGTCCACTCATAATCCTACTTGTAACTACTGATCAGCCTCTAGGTACCCTGGGGAAAGCTTGCAGAGCGATTGTGGCGGGATGACATGTGAGGAAAGAAAGCTCCGAACTAACCCTACAGCCCCAAACCCTCAACCCTAAACCTCCCGGAAAATCCCCTTTGGTCTCCAAATGCCCGCGCCCGGACAACCTGAGTTCCAGGCACGTCCTTGAATATCGTCTTGCTTCCTCCTGGCGACGGGGGTGAGAGCTACGAGACTCCAATTTCAGAGCTCAGGTCTCAACACCCAGGGATTAATGCTGGGCTGGATGGGGATTATCAATATGGTTCAGACTAGGGAAAACTTTTGGGCAGACAAATAATGAATGATGAGACGGGTATGGAATGGAACGAACTTTGGCCCCATACGGAATAACGACAAGGCAGGAGAATGCAGCAGAGAAGAGAAGCCAGCCAGTCTCTAAGCAAGCGCCCACAAGAGTCCTGCCTCTTGAAATCCTCTAGGACCCCTCGAAGCTACTTTTCCCAAACTTTATTGGAAAACCTCCCTTTACTCAGAATTATCTAGCCGGGGGGGTAATAATCAAAGCCCGCCATTAACCTCTAAAAAATCTAGGATCTGTCCTTGAAGATTTAGAGTTTTGAGTACTTTCGTGGCTTCAGACGTGTTGTAGGATCACTGCTGTTAGTGAAGCCCAAATGATGCTTGCCGCGGCTTGTGCAGCTTGTGGAATGGAACACATGATGGAAGAAATCCATGTGGAGGATCATCACGTCCTGTCATGTGCTGCTACCGAGCAAAGGCGCCGCAAGACCTTGCAAGGCGTCCTCAGCAGAAGGAGGTTGGTGGACAGCGCCATTGAGCACATCTTGAATCGGGAACCCCGACAGCTTCCACCGCCCCAGCTTAGCGGTATCCAGAACTTTGTGCTCATCAGCACAAGCGGCTAAGGCCAATACAGGGATGATTCTCACTAAGGAGGCATGCAGGGGTTAGTGTTTGGGTCGACTCCCCTACGTGCTTTCATGAAGCGCCAATAAGACTGCGGAGGAATGCGTCTGGGAACACATGTGGCAGAATACGACGTTTGCGCAAATAGGCTATATGGTAGTTCAGGCATCACATTCAAGGGTACCTACGGCCTCACCCTAACTAACTACGCAGTGACCTCCTAAAAACTCAAACTACCTTCAGAAACCGCAGAACTGTGTACTTACGGTTCAGGGTTTCGGAGTAAATTGACCATTGCTCCACATACTCTTGGGGCCCAGGTACGCAAAGCTGTAACAGTTTGTGGTGTCAATGCCAGACTGCTAGGTACCATAGTAACCCCAAATAACCCTAATATTACCCTATTATAGTAGTTTCCATTGTATTTCCCATTATCCCTTATATAACCCCAATATTACCCCAATATAGAGAAGGCTCTTTTACGGCTGAAAAAGAAGAGCTTAGGAAATCGACTTTGGCCTCGCTAGTATCCATTGGGTTGGGCCCCCCACCCACTAATAGTGGTATAATAGGAATATATAAGGACCCTAATATAATTACCATTACCTTTTGTGGTCACTATTAATTAGTGGGTGGGGGCCCAACCTAAAGTATCCACCCCGTGCATGATCTTATGGCCTTGAAGTCGACCTTTAGTTTTGCTGTAGGAGCTTCAAAGGAACAACCTGGCAGGCCAAGCGAAACGCTGACCCCTGCCGGTGTTCAGGGCTTAGAGTTTAAGAATTCAGGGCTTATAGAGATTGAGTTGAAAAGCTTGCCCTAAGGCTCCAAGTACCTAACAATCATATACTTACCCAAAACCTGTACTTCAATTACTAGTACCCCAAATCCCAAGTACCCAATCATTGAGTACTTGGACCCTTTGGGTTTAGGGTCCAGTGTTCAGGGCTTGGGGTTTAGGACTTAGGCTAAGGAATCCGGAGCCTGAACCCTCAGACAATTCGAAACTTGAAGCCCTCAAACCCTGACGCCTAGAACCCTGGACACCTGTGACCCTTACAACCCTTAAATCCAAATTCCGAAGCCCCTAGAACCCCTGAAGCTCCTAAACCCTATAAACCCTCAACCCTATGGCCCTAAACCAACACTCTATAACCACTAAATCGTAATTCCCATTTTCTTTTCAATGATTCCTATACGACCCCAAATGAGCCCTATATACCCCTATATACTCCCATATGAGTTTCAGTCTACACTCCTAGTATCCCCCGTAGTAACACTCCCCTATATAATCCCCTATATGACCGCCCTTTCAGGAGTTTAGATCCTAAACCCTCAGCCCTAAGCCTATATAGCCCCCTTGAAGGAGTTCAGACAACTGCTCATTATCTCCCGAAGCCTAAACCCTGCAGTCCCTCGTAGTTGCCATGCCTTGGGATGATCGGCCCGGTTGCCCGCCTTCGGCTTGGCCCCAAGGGAAAGGTTAGGGCTTGGGGTTGAAGCCTTTTTGTGGAGTTCTGGGGTAGGGTTTAAGGGGTTTTGGGCGTGTTGGTTTATAGGGCTTTCGGATGTAAGAAAGCCGTAAGCCCTCGGAATCCTCAAGCCCTCGAAGCTCAGATTTCGGAATCCTGCGAGTCCACAAAAAGCACCAACAACAGCTGAAGAAATGACCTCTCAATTTGACCACGAACCCCAGAAACCGGACGCCGGAGCCACTTCTCCAACTGTTGGCCAAGCATTGACCTCAAGATATGTTGATTCAAAGCGCTAGCCGCACATATCATCTGAACTCCGAAGCTAAAAGCCCAAAACCCCACCATCTAGGAGCTCGCTCCTAATTACCCGGGTCCTGGAATTCCACTGCGCCTACAGCTTCCGCATCCTGGATCCCTCATGCTCTCAGCCCCAAATCTCCCGTACCACATTCGAGCCCTAGGCCGAAACCCCAGGCCCGCATGGTTGCTGCCTCCACCGCCGCCCGGGAACCTGGGAGGAAGGGTTTGAGATTGAGGGCTCGTGTTCTTGTTAGGTGTTGGTTGGGTTGTTGGTTCAGCGTTCGTCCTCCGCTACCCCAGTGAAGGATCCAAGCTCCCGATAGTCATAGACATCACGGAAAAATCCTGGAACTCCTCGTTCTAAACAAGGCCGAGGCCCTACACATAGTACTTTCACAACAGGTACTTGGAACCTTTCACAGTGATACAACAAATGAGAAGCCCATCAGCTGCAAATGCTGCAAATGACTTTTTACCACAGCAGAAGGACACACCGCCATGGTTTACTTTGGATTTTCGGGTCTAGGGTTTGAGCTGCAGCGTTTGGGGCTTAGTTGGAGTGTCAGGGTCGGGGCGGGGGGCTTTTTTGGAGGTTTCAAGCTGGGATAGTCTGCGCGAAGCCTCAGAACAATTTAATTGTATCAGGATCGTCCAAATGTAATATCCCATCTGTGACAACACCGAAATTCTAGCAGGCCAACCCCAAACCCAAGCCACCTTCAGTCCGCACCTCAAGCGGCTGCAGGAATGTACATGTGAACAACATAGCGAATACACAAGGAGGGGATACCAAGGTCTCGGTTGGATGGTGGCCTTCGCACAACCTCTAGACTGCAAGGAGCAGAAATGTAGTAGGCCTGAGGGCTCAAGCACCCAGCAAACATGTACTTCCCCAAGTTTAGCTACAACGTGGCCAACGAAGACTCAATCCATTGATTCACTCTCAGCCTAAAGCCCTGAGCCCCAACTCCAAGCCTCATACTTCAGCTCACCAAGAAAAGTCGGGGCTTTAATGGTATCAGAGCAATGCACAGGTGTTAAAGCCTCACGGTTTCATGGGATTTCTGAATTACAGTTGCGGCTTAAAGGCTTTTAGTCTCAGAGTTTGGGTCCTGTCAAAAGCCACCCACAAATCTAAATTCCAGCAGAACAAAATGTATGTCCCACAAAGATCACCCCAACTCCTCATTGGCTATGCTCCCAACTGGTGAGACCGAGGAAAAAACACACAGGATATATCTTTTGCTAGCACTACTCACGTTTGTGCCTTTGGGATCTTTTTTCCACTCGTGTGTAACTCATTAGTGTCAAGTTTTGGCCTCAGGACCGCTTCCGGAACGAAAGAAAGTCGACCACTCTTCCGAGAATGCGGCCCGCCACCACCAAAATTGAACTTCATGCCACCACCTGTACCGAAGGCATTTTGAGCGGTCCTTCTTGTTATTTTGTGCTGCAAGCTGTGCGGTCTAGATATTTGATTGCGTCCGTGCTCAGGAGTCTTTAGCAGAAAGCTGGCCTTTGGGGTCTGAGGCCGCTCTTCCTCAGATATCGCATGTGCTGCGTGCTAGTCTTGCGTTCTCTCTTAAGCCCTAAGCCCGAAAAAAAGAAAAATGTCTGACACTGTGAAAAAATGCTATGGGTTGCCGAACCTCAAAGGTCCAACTATCTCAATGTCAGCATTCTGGGTACGTCAAAACACAGTGGCCATTATTTGAGCGCTGAACCCCTCAGAGTATAGCCCTCATTGTCCTATAGCGCGAGAAACCCTAAAGCTACCAGAGGGGCATCCGGACTTCTACTTACTGGTGCTTGAAGGGGAGTGGGAGAGTGAACTACTGTAATAATCTCTCAAAATCATCCCCTAGAATGGTACCCATATTCACTCGCCCCAAGCAAGTCAGTCTAGGGTGAATCTGCCAACCTGGGAATCGGTCTATGAGTACCGGCCCCTTGCAAACATGGAACCGCATAAAGCCTCTTTTTAAAGCACAGTAGTCTGATATAAGGCCTTTATGGGTCCCATTTCCATTTCCGGGAGGGTAGGTTTGTAGGCTTTGCTTTGAGGTCAGGATGCCGGCATGAAGTGGCTTCCGTCTTTAGGACAACAATTTCTGTATCTGGGATGATGGTTTCAGGGCTGAGGGAGTGTAATCTCACAAAGGTTCAGCGTTCAGAGATACGTGATCGAAGGCTTTTTGCCGGGGAATTGTTTCCGTGAGGTCAAGGACAGCTTCCATAAGAAAGTAGTCAAGCATCCTGCGGGTCTACAATTTTTGTTACTTTCGAGCGTAGGTTTGTGAACGGTACCGAAGGAATCGATAAGATTTCTGACTAACGCTGTTGAAGAACATGATCGACAGGCCCACCCCAGTTTTTCCGGCTTTACATCCAGAGGACGCATTTCTTCACTCGCTGCCAGACGATTGCGCATCCGCCAAAACCTGAAAAGCATCGCTTGCCGCGTGTCTTGACTGCCGTCCAGCTCTTTGGCACGCTCCTTGCTCTTAGGTGGAACTTCGCAATGTGAGCTTTGCTGCCTGATGTGCTCTTCCACTTTCCCGCCAGGAAGGTAATGCTGCAATCTTTGGGGTTTGGTGCATATAAGCGACTTACTGAGCCTCCTGTTCCAGTGACCTGCAATTAGGTCGGAAAGTACGGTTGTGCAGAAGCTTCAGTGCACATGACAATCACTCCTTTTCAGTGACCCGACTGCAAGTCCGAAATAAAGCCGAAGCCAAAAGAAATTCAGAAAACTTCCTGCATTCTATTTGTAAAGTTGCGAGAATACCGCTCCCCCAAATGCGGACCCCAATGTAGGGATGCGTGCTATACCAGCTTCAGGAAACTCCCTGGTAATCAGGCCCCAAGATTCATGGTTCAGAGTTTTGGACTTTCCGGACGATTTCGGTCCTAATTTCATGCAAGGAATTACAGGGAACAGCTCCTGAGGCGATATCATACTCCCAACTGCCTGGAACCCTTAACCGATTGTCTGCGTAATCCCTGTTTGATGGATCAACCTTTTGATGGAAGAAGCCCTGCAACACTCTAAAACCTGTGACTCCCGTAATTGTGAGAAGTACTCTGACGTGCGACCGCACTGAAAACAAGGGGATGAGCACACAGCAGACAGCGACAACAAGCAATACATACCCTAAACAGCAAAACTCGAAACCTGAAACCGTCCGTGAACAATGAAAGTATCGGGGCAAAGTTATCCAAAACGCAGCAACCAGAAGCTTACCATTCACAAGCAGGAATATAACAATTGCACAACTGCTCTGATAAGGAAAACAAGGTACGGACAGGAAAAAAGAATGACAACATGAGCTACTGTCTAAACTCCTAGTATCCCCCTTAATAACCCCTATAGTAGTCCCCTATATAATCCCATATATATATATCCCCCCTTTAAGGAGTTTAGACTATAGCTCACATCAACACATAAACTGGGTTGCAGTTAAGGAACTTAAATTAAGTTACCATAATGGGTATATATAGTAAATAATGGGGTTTCCCCAATGTAGTAACTTAATTCAAGCTCCTTAATCCCTATATTCCCCCAGTTTCCATTTCATTTTCCATTTTCTTTTCCATTTGATTCTCCATTATAGGGGGATAATACCTTAATTTAAGTTCCTTAACAGCAACCCAGATAAAGGCAATCAGGAGATGAGCTGCCCGGCCTGGCCCTCCTCCCTGAAAGAACTGTCCGCCACCTCCTCGGCCGCCTGCGTTGCAACTGGAACCGCGGGGTCTTACAGGGATATAGAGTTTAGGGTATAGGGATTAGGGTATAGGAATGAGGGTTTAGGGTTTAGGGTATAAAGATGAGGGTTTGGATTTAGGTTTTAGGGATGAGGGTTGCTGCAGAGGGAGTCTAGGGGGCTCCCGTACGGATTGAATTGAAAATCGAAGCTTCAGAGGCATATAGAAATTAGCGCTTAGGGTCCAGGACAATAATGTTGAGGAGTTGGCTCTTGCTGTTGTTGCATGCGCACAAAGGAGGCCTCGCACTGAAGGGGATTTTAGAGCTAGATGAGCGGCTTCTATACCGAACGGGTACGCTAGGGTCTAGAAGCGTTGGAGAGGAATCATGTGCAGAACTTCCAGGATTGGGTTTGAGGGCATGTATGCAGTTTAGAGTTAAGTTGGGAGTTTAGGGTTTATCACCCGGACACGCGCACCACGAAACACCAACTGTGAAAACTCCCCTCGTCATGAGCCACGCGCTTGTCTGACAACTCTGACTCACTCTCAACTTGGGCAACTTGTAATCCCTTCCCCGCATAAACGGCCCTCACCCCCGTGAAATCCGTGCATAACTCCTATATATGCCCGATATATACCTATATCCGTATATAACCCTATTCCCGAAGCCCGAGTCTATGTCATGGTACTTTTTCATCAGCCTGACGCGTTCAGCTGTACTGAAGGAGTGTCCAGGAAAGGAACTTTGAAGCCGAGCTGCCTGCATGATGGCCCTTCAGCTTAGTCCGCCTGTGTACGGAAGTACCCCGAACTCAGGGACCTACTACACCCAATCACTTCAACCCTCCAGGTAACTGGGTTTTTAATGGCAACTGTCTTAAGCCTGGACCCCAACGACTCTCAACCTACCGTACCTACCCTACAGGTCTAGGCACCTAAAGAGTCCAGATGCAATCAAGGTTCAAAATGTTTTGCCAACATGGGTTACTCCGGGATCTAGAACATACTTCTTGGGTGCTCCTGGTTCCCTCTCTCACTCTACGGTTTAGGGTGTAGAGTGTAGGGTTTAGGGTTTAGGGGACTTGCAAAGCTCAAGACCATGCGGACAACTCCGGCATCAACACGGACACATCGACGCAGTGCTGTTCAGACTACATTCTGCAGAACGTACGATAAACCCTGGCAGCAGCCGTGCCATTGCCAAATAGAGCCGAAGAACACAAAGAAATTGATGGCTTTAGCATTTGAATATGTTCTGCCTACAGACCCCATGCAGGACATTAGCACATCCTGTGCAGTAAGCGCTTACCCCCACATTCCAAAACACCAAGCCCTAAAAAACCTTTCATGGCTTAAGCTGCAGTACCCACGTGCCAATATGTTCAGATTTACCATTCCATCCGCCACCCTCAACGGCCAAAAATTTTGGACAGCCCTGATACACCTATGACATGGTGTATTCGAATTCCCTCAATATACAGTAAGGGGTGCAAGGTGACATCCTGTTTTGCCGCAGTCTGGGGGAACGAAGGCTTGGGCACTTAGGGGAGTTTAGGGTTCAGGCTGCACAGTTTAGATTTTAATGGTTGGGGGGCTTCAGGTTTGGAGCTCTGAGGTGAGGACTTTAGGGTTGAAGGCCGCGTAACCTACGCCCGGAGGTCGTTGAGTGTAGAAACGGAAGGGGTAAGGATACCGAAGATTGCCCATACCTGATCTGAAAGAAGATCTTCGTCCCGAAACGCTAAACCCTACTCTTAGAAGCTCCCTTGGAATTGCAGCGCCACGCTTGTCTTCAAAGACTCACTCACGGCCTGTCGGCGCCTTTTGAGGACCAGGTAGGTATATCACGAAACATTGCAGTGTTCATAGTGGTAGCAATGAGGAGCTACGTGGCATTGATTCTCTACCCGGCTTGTGTGCGCAGAGGCCTGCGTCATCTTTGCGCATGGCCGAGGTATGGCCGAGTGCCACAAACCTGAAAAGCCTTGGGTCCTCCCTCTAATTCCAAAACCTAATCGGCCTAGAAAGGGATTGGACGGGCGGTCGCCAGCTTTCAGGTCTGAATGAAAAGGTCTACCAACAAGAGCAGTGCCAACGACGACTTAGGAAGACGGTTAAGAAGTCCACTGCTAGCCTTTGCCAATGCAGCTACTTAAAACCTAGGCTTCTGAACGAAGCTCTTCAGGAATGGGTTGCTTGACATCATGCCGGTAAGGACCAAATAGGCTCTCGGGTTCTGTGATGACCATATCCTGCATGCACTCTGCAAGCATACAGTTATCCTGAAAATGTGGGTATCCAAGCCCGGCAGCAAACATCTTCATGCAGGCTGCATCCTGCAGGCGATCTGTATAGCTACTGGAGGCCAGACTGTGCGCACTAAGCTGCACATTGACACGGACTTTCAAGCAAGCGGACACGAGCCCTGAACATCTTGAAGTTTCTTCGAACCTTACATTATGCATTCCTGCATTTGGAATTTCCACGCTTATTCCAAGTGGCCTTGCCGGTCCTCACCCGAAATCCACATGTTTCGGTTGTGTCCTGCGTGCCTATTCAGGCCGCTCTCCTTTTCAACCAAAGCATGAGAGATCTGCAGCAGCAAGCGCAAGGCTCACATCAACTCCAGCGGGCTGACCTTGCATGACCCCAAGTACCCTAAACCCATGCAGGTGTAATAGTTGCAGCTTTCCTTC